AAACGACGAGCCCCTCGCCCGGCGCCTCCTGCAGTAGGAGGCATCGGCGCCCGGAGGAAGAGACCCTTCGGATGCGTTCCTGTGGCCGTTGCAGCGCCCTCTGGGAAGAGCTCGAGGTCCAGGGCTGCCGGGAGTGAGGGAGGCTGTGCCCTTGATCTCTCTGCTTCTTTTTTCCTTTCGTTCTTTTCTTTTTCGTTTCCTTCTCTTTCTCGTTTTCGCTTTTTCTTCTCGTTTTCCTGCTATTTTCTTTCGTTTTTCTCTTCTCTCTCTCTCTCTCCTTATATCCATCTATGTTACAGAGAAACGATTGCCATTTTAGCCTTAAATTAGTGTGGTAAAAGGAAAGAATTGTGTGTGGTGTGTGTGTGTGTGTGAGAGAGAGAGAGAGAGAGAGAGAGAGAGAGAGAGAGAGAGAAGATGAGAGAGAGAGAGAGAGGAGAGAGAGAGAGAGGAGAGAGAGAGAGAGAGAGTGAGTGAGTGAGTCAGGCACAGAGAGAAAGACCAAAGGGTCAAGCAACGCTTGTTCCAGAAGGAAATACACACATTTTCAGAACATTTTCTCTCTCCTTCCTCCCTCTCCTGCTTCCTCTCCCCACACAGCTCTTTCTCTGCACCCTTTTCCTGCAATCACCGAAGGCCATCCAGCAAAAAGAGAGAGAGAGAGCAAGAGAGAGAGAGAGAGAGAGAGAGAGAGAGAGAGAGAGAGAGAGAGAGAGAGAGAGAGAGAAGAGGAGAGTAGATAGATAGATAGAAATAGATAGATAGATAGATAGAGAGAGAGAGAGAGGAGAGAGAGAGAGGAAGCGGTAAATATGGGATAGATAGATAGAGAGAGAGAGATAGATAGAGATAGAGATAGAGGAGAGAGAGAGACAGACAGATAGATAAACAGAAAGAAAGACAGACAGGTAGATAGACAGATAGATATAGATAGATAGAGAGATGAAACAGGTAGAGAAATGAAACAACAAAACCGCCGAGGATCTTCTAATTCGAGAGAAAGAATGACGTCATAATTAAATTATCGGTGCTCTCGTGTCTCTGGAAATCTGTACAGACTCCCATTTTTCTTAACAGCTGGAAGTCCATGAAGAGCTCCCTACCTGGCCACCTCACCCCCATCTCCCCCTTCTCCTCTCCTTCCCTTCTCTTCTTTCCCTATTCTCCACCTTGGATTTTTCCCTTATACTTTTTACCCAACAAACCCCATTCTTCTGCACTCTTCTTGCCCTAAAATTCCTAACCTCTACCCAGCCCATTATCTCTACCCCCTTTAAACACCCTTCCCCCTCCTTTATCCTACACCCCCACCCTTCACCTCTCCCCCCCCCCTAACCATCCAGAACCCCCCACTCACCCCTACCACCCATCCCTCCTCCCCCTCCCCTAACCCCCAGAACCCCCCACCTTCCCCCCCTACCAACACACAGACATATCAAATCCTCCCTTAGATTCCAGAAAAGGGGATTCCTCGCCCCCGAACCGCGACCGCCCCGACAGCTAAATTCCAGTCCGCGAGGAGCAAGAGCCAGCATCCACGGGCGGGGGATATCTTTACCACCTGCGCCTTCACTAGACCACGGATCCGCACTGCCTCGGACTCCAGTCCCCCCCCCCCCCTTCACCCCCTTACTCCTCCTCTGCCTCGGACTCCAGGACCCAGCTTCCCCCCCCCCCCTTCACCCCGCTTACTCCCTCCTCTGCCTCGGACTCCAGGCCTCGGACTCCAGCTTCCCTCCCCCCCCTTCACCCCCTTCTTCCCCTCCTCGTCCCACTCGGGTCAGTCGTGAGGGGTGGAGGGGGGGGTTTTACTAGTCTTTCTTATCTTTTATTTGTGTGTGTGTGTGTGTGTGTGTGTGTGTGTGTGTGTGTGTGTGTGTGTGTGTGTGTGTGTGTGTGTGTGTGTGTGTGTGGTGTGTGTATTTCTGTTTGTTGTTTGTTGTTGAAGTGGGCATGTCAATATGTTTATGCGGATTGGTGTATGCATTTATATGATGTATGTAAATGCACATATGAAAACATCGCACAAACACAAACAATTGCAGATAAAAGGCACACGCCCAGAACCATGCATAATACACACTGGCAGTAACAACACACACACACACACACACACACACACACACACACACACACACACACACACACACACACACACACACACACACACACACACACACACACACACACAACACAATAGCGCCAGCAACAATCCTCCCCCAAACAAACAAACACAATCACACGGATCCTCCCTGGAAATATATACAATCTCTTCCTTATCATTATTACCATGATATTTAGCCCTTTTCCCCAGAATACCTTATGCAGCCACTACGGAAGGTCGGTAATAATAGCGTGCAATAAAGATCTTCTCTACGAAAATTTATTCCCAATTTCAGAGCAGGAGAGCAAAGGAAAAGCGGCTCTCCGTGCTGCCTCTCCCTCGTTCCATTTCGACTAAAAGAAATGGCGAGGAAGACTACATGGCTGGCAACACTTCGTAAGCTTTTTTTTTGGGGGTCTTTTATTATTTTTGTGTTATTTGTTTATTTTTATCTTATTTATTTTTATGTAAGCGTTTTGGGGTCTTTTATTATTTTTGTGTATTGTTGTTTGTTTATTATCTAATTATTTTCTTTGTTTCTTTCGTTTCTCGTATCTTTTGCTTCGTTTTTTTTTTGTTTCTGATATCTCGATTTCTTCGTTTCCCTTCCCCTACCCTATCCTTATCTCTGTCTCTCTCTCTCTCTCTTCTTCTTTCTTCTTGTACTTCATCTTCTCCCTCCTTGTCCATTCCATCTCATTCCTCTTTTTTTTCCTATCTCATCTCCTTTCTTCTCTCCTCCCTCCCCTCCCAATATTTACCTTCTACCAAGACAGTGTAAAAACTCCAAGGGGAAACTTTACAATATCTTTACATTCTAGAATTTCGGTAACTTATAAAAGAATAAGTAATCTTTTCCCGCCAAACCCACACAGAAACTTACGAGGAGGACCAGGCATAAAAAATATTTGCTTTATCGACATATAGCGATTCCAGCGATAATTTTCTCTCACGCCCACAGGCAAACATATGCAAAATTATTTCCGCTCCGTGCGTAAATATAGAATTACCTGTCAACCTAACAATAAAACGAAAAAGACCAACGGAGGAAAAATATATCAGACATTTTTGTTTTGATAACGCTAAAACATTCCTCAGAAGCAATAACAAAGCAATCGACTTAGAGGAATCAGTTTTTAACTTTGGACCATAGCGATAACCACTTTTTTTTTATTTTTTTATTTTTTTTTTTTAGAGAACGCTGCTGTTCTAAAAATAGACGGCGTTAAATAAAAGCAAATAACGTGGCTGAATTAAGGGGAAAAGTTCACAGCGCAGAGCGGTTCTCAGGAATGGAAACCTTTGAGACTGGGCTGAGAAGAGGAACGTTAGTAGATTGGGTTTGAGACAAACGTTAGTAATGAGTTTCGAAAAGTGAACTAGGAAAAGGGAACGTTAATGGAAATGGAATGAACTAGGAAAAAGGAGGAACTAGTTAGATGGAAATGAACTAGTTAGATGAAATGAACTAGGAAAAAGAGGAACGTTAGATGGAAATGAAATAGAAAAGATGGAGAAACTAGGAAAAAGAGGAACGTTAGATGGAAATGAACTAGGAAAAAAGGAACGTTAGATGGAAATGAACTAGGAACGTTAGATGGAAATGACTAGGAAAAGAGGAACGTTAGATGGAAATGAACTAGGAAAAAAAGGAACGTTAGATGGAAATGAACTAGGAAAAGAGGAACGTTAGATGGAAATGAACTAGTTAGAAGGAATTCAAGTAGGAACTAGGAAAAAAGTTACTCTTTGAAATTTAAGAGGAAACGTCGACAACGTTAGACTTACGTTAGATGTTGAAAAAAACTAAGAAAAATGGAACATTAGGTGTTGAAAATGAATAAGAAAAAAAAGAAGATGTTGAAATGACTTAGGAAAAGAGAACGTTAGATATTGAAAGTGAACCAAGAAAAAGGAAACTTTAGATGTTGAAACTTAGGAAGAGGAAAAATGTTGGAAATGAATAGGAAAAGGAGAGCTAAAGAATTCAAGGCGGGGCACAGATAACAACAAAGCGTTCATACAACATCTAAGTTCCCTCCAAGACAAAGAGATTATCGAATAAGTAGCCAGGCAGAAAATAATGAGAACAAGAAAAGGAAAGGAGAAGAGAAGATGAAGAAAAAGAAGAAGAAGAAGACACGAAGAAAAAGAAGAAAAGAGAAATACAAAAGGAAAGGAAAACGAAGAAAAGAAATGAAGAAGAAGAAGAAATAAAACGCAGAAAAAGAACAAGAAAATGAAGAAGAAAAAGAAGACAAAAAAAAGTAAAACAGACATCCAATTATGAATAATAATAAAAAAAAATTCTAACACTCTAGACTCGAGATACATCAAGCGAGGTCACCACAAATAGTCGCCACAGACGCATAAACAACCCAATAAATAAATAACGAAAGAGTAAACAGAACAAACAACAGGAGAGGAGGACCATACACTATAACGTTGCCTCTGGAATCGGTCCACTAGGAGAGGAAGCGACGGAGGGACGCTTCGGTAGTGAATAGCAAACAAGAGGTAGTGAATAAAAGATTGCAATGGTGTTACTGGGAATGGAGTACAGTAAGTTACGGCCATCTAAGGGCGGGGGTGGGGGGGGGGGGGGGTACAAGATAAACATGCGTGGAGAGAAAAAAAGGATAGAAAAAAGGGGGGTGGGGGTGGGGGGGGGGGATCGTATACTCCCCATTGGCGATAAGATATCAAGATACTAATGTTGGGAATTTCTTATAAAACAAGTCTCTCTTATGCCTCTTTCTCTTCCCCTTCTCTCTCTCTCTATCTCTCTTCCTCCTCCTCTCCTCTCTCTCTCTCTCTGTTTGACTGTTGGTCTGTGTGTCTATCTCTTTGTCTGTCTAACTTTGTGTGTATTTGTTTTGTGTTTTTTTGGTTCTTTGTTCTCCCTTCCTTCACTTTTCTTCTCTCTCTCTCTCTCTCTCCCTCTCTCTCCTCCTCCTCCTCTTCTCCTCTCTCTCTCTCTTACTCTATCTCTCCCCCCTCTCTCTCTCTCCTCTCTCCTCTCTCTCTCTCTCTCTTCTCTTCTCTCCCCCTCTCCTCCTTTCTCCTCCCTCTCCTCCCTCTCCTCTCCCTCTCTCCCCTCCTCCCCTCTCTCTCTCTTCTACGGACATTTCCGACAAACAAACAAACAAACAAAAAATCAACTTAAAACTCCTATAAGACACCCGCTTACCAATAAACAACCGAGGCGGACTCCTCTGACCCCAGCGTGGCCCTAAAACTGCGGGTGGTTCTGCAAGCACAGATAAAGCAAGGAGTCAGAGTAATATTTCCGAGTCACCGCATTCGAGCTCCCTGGTGGCCTCCCCCCGCCCACGCCCACGGAGAGAGAGAGAGAGAGAGAGAGAAAGAGAGAGGGAGAGAGAGAGAGAGAGGAGAGGAGAGGGATGCCTTCGTCTATTTCTTCTTCTTTTTGTTTTTAACCTTTTTCCTTTTTCTACTTCTCGTCCTTTATTATTGTTTGTGACTAGTTTCATATATTTCATTTTTTATTTTCTACTACTTTCCCCCTTATATTTTTCTTTCTTGTTTTCTCTCCCTTTTTCGTTTTTGTTCTTCGTCCTTCCTGCACCATCCATTTCCTCATCATTTTCCTTCATATTACATTCACGCTTTCAGGTTTCTCCTCTCTTTATTATCTATTATTACCTCCTGTTTTCTAATTCCTCTCCCCTTTTCTTTGTTGTCGTTTTGGTTTTCATTTATCCGTCTTTCTCCCTCTTCCTATCTTCCTTCTTTCGCCCTTGGCAAGCGATTCTAATTCTCCTGGTTCGATCCTGTTATTAGTTCTTGTCCTCCTCCTCCTCCTTCTCCTCACACTATCCTCTCCACCCTTCCCTCTCCTCATTTTCCATCTCTTCTTCCTGCTTTTACTCCATCAGTTTTAGACAATTTTTTTCTATACCCCTTTTCTCCCTCGCTCCTTTCATTCTTCTCCCCTTTCTTTTTATCATTCCCTCTTCTCCTTCTTCCTCTCCCCATCCTCCCTCTCTCCCTTCCTCCACCCTCACGTGTCTTTCCCTCTCTTTTCCTCCTTCCCCTCGTCATTCCTCCCTTTTCCTTCTCTCAATCCATCTTCCCCTTCTCTTCCTTTCTGCTTCACCTCTCATCTTTCCTGCTTCTCCTCCTCCCTTCTTCACCCTTTGCCTTTCCTCCAATCCTTCCTCTTTCACTTCCCCCTTCTCTCCCTTTCTCTCTTCCCATTCCCTTCCCTTCTCCTTCCCTCTTCACCTCCCATCCTTTCTTTCTTCCTCCTTCCCTCCCTGTCTTTCCCTCCCTCTCTCCTTTCTTCCCTTCTCTTCCCTACTCTTCCTCTATTCCTTCTTTCCTCTCCTCCTTCACCTCTCCACGTGTCTCCTTCTCTTCTCTCCTTCACCTTCCACGTGTCTTTCTCCCTCTCTCCCATCCTCCTTCGTCTTCCCTCCAATCCTTCCCTCTGTCCAACTCTTCCCCCATCCTTCTCTTCATCCCTCCTTCACCTCCACGTGTCTTTCCTCCCTCTCCCATCCTCCTTCGTCTTCCCTCCAATCCCCTCTCGTCTCTCTCTATCCTTCTTCCTTCCTTCACCTCGCACGTGTCTTTCCCCCCTCTCTCCCATCCTCTCGTCTTTCCTCCATCCTTCTCTCGCGGACCCGACAGCTCGCCAGGACGTGGGAACTCCTCAGGTAGACAATCCTTTGCTTCCACGCTCGAGAGTTCTCCTTCTTGCGGGGACTTTGTTGTCAACTTCAAGTGACCGCCTCTCGTTCGCCGGAAGATGGAGAGGAAGCGGAGATGGGAGATGGAGATGGATGCTGGAATTAGGTTTGGGAGTTTGGTGGGTGGTGTGTGTGTGTGTGGGGGGGAGGGGGGGGCTGTGGTCGTGATGGAGGTGGTGTGGGGTGATGGTTGTGATGGTGGTTATGATGGGATGGTGATGGTTATGGGGATGAAGGAGGTGAAATGTCTGTAACGAAAGGAAATAATGACAGCTTGAGGAATAAATCAAAAATAAAGATAATCCAAAGATACTGAATAAGACGATAAAGAAAAGATAATAAATTGACAATAAGTAAAGTAAAATGAAATCAAACACTTAAGATCAACAGCACTGCTCAGACGACAAAACCCACACACCTAAACGGCGACGCCAATCTATGCATTCATCGCCGTGAAAACTCTACGGACCAAAACCCACATTTGGATTCCAGAACCAGATTCCACCCAGGCGCCAGGCCCACGATTCCCATTGATTGAGGAGGACGCAGCGACCCTCCGCTATCCTCCGCGTCCCTTTCTTCCCATCCGCGCCCACAATGACACTTTTGGGCGGCCGTTTGTGATCATTCTTCGGGGTAGAATTAGTACTGCCGCCCGTGAGAAGAGGAGGGCGGGGAAGG